GATTGATTATCAAATCGATTCCCATTAACTTGTTAATTGTTCAAAGTGGATCTTTGCCCCTAGTAGACTTTGTAATATCTTGATCTTTATATGTGGGTTAGTGTAGTTGTAGTGTCCACTATCCATAAACCGACTTCGGCGTAGCTTAAGCATTAGATCGAGAACAATCCAACATTACCGTTCCTTGTGGTTCGACTCCGAACTTACCACTAGACTTGTTTAGGGGTTAGTTTTAGGATTTATAAATTTATTTGATTGAGTGTGGAATGTGCGACCGTTCTAACGCCCATCATGTGCGCTTTTCAATTAACATGCAATCAATAGGATTACCCTAAACCTGTTTATCTATGTTGGTTGAATTTAATGCACAAATAGGCTATTATTGGCGATCACTTGAATTATAATCATATTAACCCTAAACAAAATTATTAATTGTCTTATTAAGCGTGATTACAAGTACCAATTCCTTTTAAACATGCATAAAAGGCGTGATCAAGCAATAAATATAAATATCAAGCAACATAATAAATAATCAAAATCATGATAATAATAATTATAATAAATATTATAATCATAAAATCATAATCAAAATAATAATTATAATCATAATTAAAACAATTATAAAAATCATAATAATAAATTATAATTAAAATAATCATGTCAACGTTAAAGCATAATACTAGCAAGATCCTAGGCATGATACTAACAAGATTAATAACAAACCCTATCATGTCACTAAGCAATAAAAATCAAATCTTTAACCCTAACATGATACTAACAATCATAAATATTAAGAAGAACATAGGAAGCATCATAACAATCATATTTAATATTAAAGTTACCCTAAACATGATACTAGGAATATCACAATAACAATTTAAACATGATTTCTACATCATAACATCAATAAAAACCATTAAAGTACTTACTTTGATGCCTCGTACCTCTTTCTAATAACAAAATACACACGTTAGTAACTTCAAGGAAAATAATAAAACAAACAATTAAATTAAATAATTGAAAGAGAGATTTGGGACCAAACCCTCAGAAATTAAAACCTTTCACGTCTAGGGCGAAGGCAACTTCGAATATGGCTAGGTGTTTCTAGATCTTGTGAATGTGGAATTTTGTATGTAAAAAGCAATTTTAGAAAAGAGAAAGAGAGAGATGAATGAATGATTAGAGAGAATTTTGATGAGAATTAGCGAATGATTAAAGAGAATGAAAGAGAATTAACGAATGAAAACTGATTGTAGGTGGATATAATTGAAAACTGATTGTTGATGATCGAAAAAGGAGTTTTTAATACGTTATTTATAGAGAAAATCAGCCAAAAAGATAAAATTAACAAAACAGAGTATTAGCGCACGCAAAACGAGATTGGCGCTAGCCATTGGCCATTGGCGCCAGGCGCCAACGTCAGCGCCAGGCGCCAATGCCTGGCGTTAGGCGCCAATCTTGTTTTTGAAACGTTTTCTAAAATCTGATAAATTTTGCCGTACAGGAGGGTAAAATCGTATCTTTTCCTCAAAATGCTCTTTGATTTTAATTAAAACTTTGAAAAGTCAACCAAAGTCAATTTATCAATGCTAATTGAATTAGGAATGAAAAGCACCTTCTAGAAGAATCTAGAAGACTAAAACCATTCCTAATTGCATTAGGAATGATAAATCATATTAGGCCCTCCCCTAGATCATTGGGACATACATAAGGCTCAAAACGGGCCCAGTTTAGTAAATTGGCCATAACTTCCTCAATATTCATCGGAATTGGGCTTATAATATATTGTTGGAAAGCTCTTGCAAGCCCCATCCAACTACACTACTATTGGACCCATATCATGGACCAACCAAACTGGATTGGTTGTTTTCTTAAAATAAGTTTCCAAAGCAGAGAGAAGGGAAAAGAAATTAAAAACTATCCGCAACACTAAACTTTCCACACTTTCACTTCATTCAATTATGATTCGACGCGAAAGGTACTCATCACCGGGTTTGGTTTTTGGGGAGACACAAATGGGTGTCTACAGATGGCTAGTTATTGTTGAGTTTTTGAGAGTGAGATAAATGAATGAAACAAAAGTGGGTATTGTGTATTTGTGTGTGAGTTGCGGGCTACAAATGACTGAATGAATATTGACTGTTGAGTAACCCTAAATGCCTTTTCAAGAAAGAAAAAAAATTACCGGGTAATTATCGGGTACCCGTGGAACTCATAGTGTGGCCCATTACCCGATCCGGAAACTGAATTTTTTAACATGCCGGCTACCCGGCCCGTAAAAATGATAAAAAAAAATCAAAAAATACACATCGGGTAGTTTGCGGGTCTTTGGGTTTTCGGGTCGGGTCAAGCGGATTGGGTTTTTTTGAACACCCCTAATCACAGAGTGTGGTCTCTACAAGCGTCTATACCTTATATCGTATAGATATTTCGTGGAAATAATATATTATACAAATGTAAAGGACATACATTAAAATGTAATGAACATAAACCTACAGTAAAAAGAACATATTTGCACCAAAAAGAGTGAAAATGTCTATGTTCTTTTATTGGTATTCCAACTCCAGACCTTGAGCACGTCTTTTCACATGCTAAAATAAGAACTAGGAACTAATCTAGGCCCTTAAATCATGTTAATCGGACGGCTCACATGCTTCCCGTGTCATTAATGACATTCTCGTAATATTTGAATGTTACAAACTGATTCTCAGTTTCAATTCTAAAAAGTAAATGAAATGTTAGTAAAAGTAAATGAAATCAGTCATAAAGTAAATGAAATTGTCTTAAAAATTAAAAAACTGGAAAAAAGTTTGAAAATATGCGAAATTACGAAAATGCCATTAATGAAAGCGGGTGAGATGTGAGCCGTCAGATGGAGCATGATTGAAGGCTGAGATTGGTTCTTAGTTCCTATTATTCACCTTGGTTCTCACATGATCTCAATTCTATATATAAAATTTAATGTGCATTACATAATATTATCATGTTGTTTATTAATATTACAGGTAAAAAAACAGTTGTATGTTGTTTACACATGTTCTTACCGCATTTTTAGTCGCAAGGTACATACAAATCTACCTTAATCAATATAGAATTATTGTTAGGAGGAAAGCCACAAGCATTGGAGGGTAGGTTGGAATTGACGCAGAATATGAGTGGTTTTTACTTTGGAAAATTTAACAATAACAAACCAACCTTTTTCATGTTCTCCCAAACTAGACGAACCTTTAAATCTTTCCAAAATAAACCTAAGTTTGAATTTATTCTCCCAAAATGAACCCACCAAGTAAAAATCCAAGTGTATTAAATCATTGTTCAAGATTTTTTTTATTCGAATTTTGATGATTTTTTTTGAAAAAAAGAAATAAAAAATACCAAACACTGTTCCAAATGCCAGCCACCCCATTGCCACCCACTCCAAGCCTTCCCCTCTTCCCCGGGCGCAAGCCGACGCCCAAAACCCCCTACTCTTGGTCGCCGGCGCCGGCTATATCCACACCTTAATAACCTTTACCACATCTCACCACCAAACCACCATTAATCACTAACAACCTCCATCTCCACCTGCCGCACAAATAGAGCAACACCAGCAGCCCACATCTGTTGGCGCCCAGAACCCCCCTCTCCTATTCGTTGACTTTACCCACCAATGGCGGAGGGAGGTGGGTACAAGGGGGGACAGTTGTCCCCCCACTTCAATAAAAAAAATTAGTTAAAACTAATTATGTGCAGCATATTCAATAAGAAAAAGAGTTTGGTTCAATGGTTTTAGGGCTTACTAGTAGTCTCCATGGTCATGGGTTCAATCCCTTTGACCAACATTTTTTTCTTCTTATTTTTATTTTAAAGTTTTTCTCTTTTCTTGCATATTTCTTTACTTCACACATTCAATTAGAAGTAATACATGGTAAATGGCATCATGTTCTAACTTTTAAATTACCATAGTAATTTACATAATTTTTATTTATTTTCCTTGACCAACATTTTTTTCTTCTTATTTTTATTTTAAATTTTTCCTCTTTTCTTGCATATTTCTTTACTTCACACATTCAATTAGAAGTAATACATGGCACTACTTAATGGCATCATGTTCTAACTTTTAAATTACCATAGTAATTTACATAATTTTTGTTTATTTTTTTTTATATAAATGCATACATTACAACCCCAAATTATTGGTTATAGTAGGAATTTCGGGTAAAGTTATTTGGTTTTATTATATATCACAATATAAATTAAATTGTCACGGGTTTAAAAACTTTGAACCTATGGATTAGGGATGGCAATTTAATCCGAGTTCAATTCGAATCCGATCCGATCCGAAGGAAAAAATCCGATTCGAATCCGTTTAAAATTAATTCGAATCCGAATCCGATAAAATAGATCCGAATCCGAATAGGAGGTGGATCGGACTTGGACCCTACGCAAAGTCCGACGGAGTCCGATCCGAGTCCGAATCCGAGAGTATAAGCATATGCTCTATAACTTGGGACAATTATTTGCTTGTTTTGTAGCAAAAATTTGTTATGTAACTTAGTTTATAATTTAAATATGTTATGTTTATACTTTAATTGGTATGACAATACAAGCAATTATAGGTATATGACATTACAAAAAAATAAAAATAAAAAAATTATTCGGACCATTTCGGAGGTCCGAATAAACGGACCGGATTCGGATCCGAAAATTACGAGTCGGATCGGATTCGGACTCGGACTTTTCGGATTCGGACTCGGACTCGGATTCTGATCCAAGTCCAGGGTCCGTTTACTAAATGGATCGGATTCGGATTTAGCCACATCCGTCCCGAATCCGATCCGTTGCCATTCCTACTATGGATCCTCTACTGACCAAATTTGAATAAGAAATTGTTTATTTGTTAGGATTATCATAAATTAGAAATCACATTTATGAATTATTTGATAATTTTTATTGTATACCAATTTAAAAAAAATGAATATTTGAAGGTGAAGTTGAAATTGTAAATATGCTTTCTTAAGAAATTTAATATGCTAATTAAATTGTCACAGCCTACAGTTCACCCGCTTCATTAAGGGTAACTCCGTAATTTTAGTCAATGAATGACCTTTGTTCTAATTTTTTCGCTTCTTTTTTTTTCTCTCTCTATTCTTCTTAGTTTCTCTCTCTTCTCTCAAAAGCTCTCAACGACGATTGATAGTTCGATTTTGCTGCTCGATTTTTTGGATTTTGCTGTCTAATATCTTCAATTTAGTTCCAATTCTTCGAGTTTGCTACTCGATTTATGTTAATCGATCATTATGGAGAGGTAAATTTTATAGATTCTTTTTGTTTTATAAGTGATATTAAGTTTTTATATAATTAGGTTTTGCTTTGTTTTTGTTCGACTGTCTTTTTCGATTACCATTTTATGGTTGTGGTTTACTCAATTTGATTATTATTGTATTTTATTTTGTCAGGGTTTTTGTTTCTTATTCTATTTTGTTGCTTTTTAATCGAATTTAGTTTTAGTTTTTTTATAATCTGATGCATTTTTTTTTACTTTTTTTTTAATGTTCACCTAAATCTGGTTAAGGAGGAATGAGGTGTTAAACGAGTGGGGTTTTGTTTTCATGAGTTATTACTTTTGAGCATGAATTATTTACTTTTGAGCTTGAATTATTTACTTTTGAGTTGATTGTAATGATTGAGTTTTGTACATTGTTTTATGGTGTTGATGTTTCATAATGTGTTATACTTTTTTGCAATCGAAGGGGAATGAGGTGTATGTAATGAAGTTTCTTGGAGGAGTTTTGAATCCGAGAAGTGGTTGAGTGATGCTGCCTTGCCAAGGCTGATGCCCTGCCAAGGTTGCTACTGCTATATATTTAAAGTTAAAACAGTGGGGACTTAATGAAAGCCTAATGCTACTAGCAACTGTTGATGTTCGCACTTGATTGGCAACTAGCTATTGTTGATTTTCTTAGAGTATTTATAGGTTTTTTGTTAAATTAAAGTACCATTGATATCACTGTGTAGTCTAATAAGATAAACATAAATCATTCCTTTCTAATGAGTGATTAATAATTATCATTACATTTGAGTAATTTTGGCTTACTTTTGACATACTTTGATTAACTTTTGATATAATATAATATAATTTTGAGTTTTAGTAACTTTCTTAGTTTGCCAGAGGATCTTCACCATAAAGATGACCCCATTTGTGCTTCAGGTAGAAGCATTCATATTGCAAAATTATGTAGGGATAGGATTTCAAATTGCTTGACAATATAATATTGTATTTTTCAATTATCCTTCTACAGGTTTGGAATAGAGCTAAAACACATGATGATTTAACAAATTGTTAATTAGCACTTAGGATGTCCTGTAGGAGCTTACATTTGTCCCAATGCCTGTTATTTACCCCCATTTCACCTACATTTCTTTTATATAAGATTTGTTCTTTTATAGAATAATGTTTATTTATGAATGTGAATTTTGCATTTCTAGGGTGCAGATACTATTGTGGTGTTGGTGCCGATAGAATTCGGACATGATCTGATGTTCAGTATAAAGCTATGGAATTAACATAAGTGGAAGCAATATTCTTAAGGTATCCTGATGAAATTTTGTGTTCTTGCATTTACACTAGTACCCAATTATGGGTAGTTTCTAGGTGTAAACTCTTCTTTTTACATATACTATATAAACCTTTTTATTTACTTTTGAGATTTTTGTTTTGTTTACTTATGAGTTATTTTGCAATATAAATGCTTGTTTAAGTAGTTTTCTTCCAAAATATAATATTATTTACTTTTTACATTGATTTATTAACTTTTAATGTAAAAACTATCACTTTAACCTCAAGTCATATATTTCTCTCTTAGTTGATTTACATTAGAGATATTTGGAGGTAGAAATAGAGCTGTGGTCCTCAGCCAATCTAGAAAAAATATGACAACCCCAAAGTTTTTCGGTTTAATGATACATAGAGGCCTTCAAACCTAATTAATCGTTAAATCTTAGAGCTAATTTATATTGTTTACTTTTAAGTTTATATTATTTACTTTTGAGATTATTTTATTTAGTTTTGAGTAATTTATTTTATTTACCTTTGAATCCCACGTAGCTGCTGCCCTGCCATGGCTTGCTACTGCAGCTTCTACTTTTGCCTTGCCAAGGCTGCTGCTGCAACTACGTACTGCCCTTCCATGGCTTGATGCTGATGTTCTACTTCTGCTCTACCGCCTACTGTTGCTATGCTACTTCTGCTGTACAGCTGCTGCTGTAAATGGTGGTCGGGAGTTCTTGAAGTTGAGCGAAACGGGCCAAGTAGTCTACTTTTTTATCTACTTTTTATTATTTTTTTATCTACTTCTGTCATATTACTCATATGATGCATAGTGCCAAGGCTGCATAATGGCAAGTAATCTGATTTTGTAATGTGGTTTCTTATAATTTTCTCATTTCATTGCATCTGTTAGTTTTATTAGCTGCATTAAATTAGACAGAGTGAAGTACGCTATTTTGATTTGTGACTTTATGGCTATGGATATATCTCAGATTTTTTAACAGAGTTGGCTTGTTCTTTGGTCATGGCATAAGGAAAGCCTGTTACTACTCACATAGAACCTGTACAGACTAATGACACACCTAGAAGACCCAGGATCCTTCTAGCTACAAGTGGAAGTGTTTCTCCGATCAAGTTTGGGAACCTCTATCATTGCTTTTCTGAATGGGCTGATGTAAAAGCAGTGGCAACTAAATCTGCATTGCATTTTATTGACACCGTGACAATTCCTTGAACCGGTTTTTCTTCGTGGATGATTTGACTGGATTTGAGATCACACTCCTGTTGGAGGTAATAACCTCACTTCATGTTGCAAGAATCTCAGAGTTGTCTATCGAAATTCCTTCTTATCTATTCATCAGTAGCTTCGACAATTTGATCATTCTATTCTATGTTAAGGTAGCTTCCAGAGCCTTTCAGTTTCTTTGATTATTGTTGTTTTCTTTGATTTTAAATCAAGGTTATGCGATGCATATATAGTAGCCTAGTTTGGTATTGGATCAAGAAAGTGTTAGCTGAATGCCGGTGAAGCTTGTACCATTGATTTTTATCATTGATATCCATTTACTCGATTTTAGGTTATTTGTGAAAATATCATATTCCATTGCTCATGTCAGTTAGGTTTCGTTTTGATTTGTTTAATTTGGTTGTGATCATATTTGTTTCTGTCCATCTTGTGCACTGTGTATACTTCAGGTTTGACAGATTAAGTTCGTGAGATGAATTTTATGCGTAATTTGTTAATTGAAGGGATGTTTTAACTATGACAGATAATAATTATCAGAATATAGCTTATTTAAGGGGAATACTTTACAAAATTAAATGATACATTGAATTCACTCACTGAAAAGACTGGAATTAATACAGAAGAACCAATATGACAGATTATTATCACATCAGTTTGAAGCTCAAAGGTCATACCCAAGAAAGGCATGAAAAACACATTCCAATATGTAGCTGAGGAACCAATATACCAGAAGAGTCCAATGTCTCAAACGAAAGCAAGGAACCATGTAACTTGTTGAGATGATTTAAGTCCAAATTTGAAGCAACACCTTCAACGGAATCAGATGCCTCACCTAGGTTTGATGATACTGAAGAATCGGAGCTGAGTTTTTCAAGAAATGGTATCAGTCCCATAAAGCCCTAAATAAAGACAGATGGCACTGTAAGTTGATCATAAATGTAAAGTCAGAGATTTACCACATTATCTGAAATAGTGTCTATATACTTCTATTTCTGATTTATACTTCATATCAGAAGTTTTTATTTTTGTTTACTTTTAAGAATTTTTTATTTACTTTTGAATTAATTTTCTTTATTTATTGTTAAATACACACTAGCCTACTAGCTCAATAGGTAGAGCATTGTGCAAGTGCACAAAAGATGTGGGTTCGAATCCCACGTAGGTTCATTTGTATTTACTTTAAGAAATATTTTATTTACTTCAACTTATTTGTATCTACTTTTATTACTAAGAAACTCAAGCTTCACTTATCCAAGGATTAAAGGTATGACAATAGGTTTTATAATCTTATACTACATATTTAAGCATTCATAGCAATTAGAGACCGTCATTAAGCATTTTTTCTTAGCAATATCCATTTTAGAAGTGGAGAAGTTGAATTTCATTTCTATTTACTTTAATAAATATTTTATTTACTATAACTTATTTTGTACCTACTTTTATTACTAGAAACTCAAGATCGCTAACTTATCTAAGGATTAAATACATAAACATGATGGTAAACTAATACCCCACTTTTTTTTTTCTCAGCAATAATGTTCGCCCTAGACTAAATAGTTGTCATTCTCCCATGCTCTAATTTGACCCTTCTTTTTTTTATATGTTTACTAATTTGCTTTTGAGTAGATATAATTTACTTTTGAGTATAGACTATTTACTTTTGAGTTAATATTATGTATTTACTTTGATGTTATTTTAATGGAAAATTGAAAACTAATAATCTCACCTTTGTCTTTTCTACTCAAAATAATCCCACCTTTTTGAATTCCTAGAATAATCCCACCTTTGACCCTCATTTGCTAAAAATGAGCCTTTTAACCTACAACTTGTATAACAATTTTTTTTTCTTTTTTTTTTCAATCTCTCATCTCCCACCTTAGCTACACCATAACCACCACTACATCACAACCTAACCCCACCACCTTCTTTCTTTATCCTAACCTCAACCACCAACACCACTAACCACCTCAACCCCAGCACCACTAACCACGACCACAACCAACACTAACCACGACCTGCCGATAGCCTAGATGTTTTTATTTACTTTTAAACTATTATGATTTACTTTTGAGATATAATTATTTACTTTTGATTTCTTTTCGAGCTATTTTAAATTACTTTAGAGATGTTTTTTGAATTACTTTTTAATTTCTCTATTTACTTTTAAGATAGTTTGATTTACATTATGGATTTTTTTTATTTACTTTCGATTGTTATGTAGACAATAATTCGAACTAGCCAATACCTTTTGTATGCATCATTTATTTGTGATATTAGAGAAAGGTGAGATTGTTATAAGTTGAAATAGAGCTTAGTTTCATGTAGCTTATTTACTAGTGCATATACTTCTATTGATGTGATATTTAATTTTTATTTACTTTGAATAACTTTAGAGTGTTTTATATTTACTTTTATAGATAATAACCTATATAGGAATCGAACCTACACCTCTATACATCCGCATAGTGCTCTACCACTTGAGCTAATAGGTTTACTTTAAAGTCTTTTTTATTCACTTTAGTGTCTTTTTTATTTACTTTTTCACACAAAATGCCACTTGAGCTAATTTGATGTGTTGGATACAGTAAAGTGTATGGAACCTTAACCGGTCCCTCATGATTTTTAAGTATCTTGTCATTGTTCTTTTTGTGTTATTCTTTTCAATATCTGATAGCATCATCGAAAATCTCTGGAATGCAACAAGTAGTTAAGCAACAGAAGTCCACTTAGGGGTATCCTGTTGTACAAGGTAGATCTCATCTGTGGAGTGGCACGAAAAAATTTCAACTAATGAAACTCCGAGGAGTGTCTTAAATTGGGCTGTTATTGTTTTTAGAAAGGCTCTCTCAAAATCAGACTCGAGCTCAACGTGTTTTGGAGTGCGTGGCTGAGGCATGAATCGCATGCTTACAGTAGGCCAGTTTGGGAGGTATCCTACATAAGGATACTGTCCGACAGCAGCATGGAGTGCAGAAGCAACCTACGTGATGATGGTGCATGTGTTTGTAAGATCATGCCTGGTTTTCATTTCCGACCACCATGGTTCATCTTTCTTATCACCATGGTTCATCTTTCTTATCACCACTACATAGTGGATTTCTTTCCACCATGATTGAAGTTCAGGATCTTATTCTACTAGGTCGTCTGTTGGGTAGTTGTAAGAGCAGTAGTCATACACCCATGTCTCAATTGAATATTAGATTTCTAGTCCGTCAACTGCAAATGGATAATCCTCAATCAATAACTTCAGACCATGGGGTTGGCTGGAATCCTCAATTGCTACCCCTTTTGAAAAGATGCAAAACGAATGTGTCAGACTTCATAGGCGGCTTATTTCAACGTCATAGTCTTTGCTCTAGGAGGCCCTCGGTCCTGTTCTCTGCCTTTGACAATAAACAATAGGAATGTGACCGAGAAAATGATCAGAGCAACCTAGTTGAGGCTACAACAACAGCTAAATGCAAACCTGAAAAAGTTGTGACAGAAAAATCAATTACTTTAACTGTAAAGTCTAATGTGGCACGTCCGAGGGGTTTGATTTCACATAATCATAATCAACATAGAAGACTTTCTGACGTTCAAAGCATAATCGATAATCCAATTATGTTTCCTTTCATTAACTTTTGAGTCTAACTGGTTTACTTTTAATAACTTTCAATCTACTTTTTAATCAAGAGGGGAAAAAAAAACTAAAAACTAATAATATTGAGTACTAGCTAATTGCGGTTAGAGTAGAAGCTCAACATTTATGCAAAATTATAAGCTAAAAACTACCATTCCAAAAATCATAAAACTCAATTGTCATAAAATTACCATGAGAATTTACTCAATTCACATAGATTTGTTCACAAACTTACCAACATTCACATAAATTTCAATTTCGATGTTTTACGATCAAGGTATTTTAAGAATTCTAGCAACAAAATCAATCACTATAATCATTCACAATTTAACCTCAAAAATTATATAAAAGAATTCGATTTTCACAATTAAGAACCCTAAATTGACTATACAAAATATAAAATTAAATGATGAACTAGGATAGTGAAATTAAAATCGGTGATTAACAAAAAAAGAAAAAAATACTTACCTCAAAAACTACATCAATGGAATCTAGAAAGCCGAGAAGCCGCTTCAATGGAGTAGTGAAAGCTCGGAAGTCGCTTCAATGGAGTAGAGAAAGCTCGGAGCCCCCTTTAATGGAGAATTCAGAGGCTCGTTGTAATGGAGGAGTGAGAAAATGCCCGAGGAGAGAGAAAGTGCGCATGAATTTTGGGAAATGAACTGAATATGCGTAATTCAATCTGGGCTGTTAGATCGCGCGCCTTTTCTTTTAGATCTGATGGTCCAGATGATGGTCCAGAGTAGTTCTTAGTTCCCATTATAGGATTGATTCTCATTATAATCTGGTCATATATATATATATATATATATATTTATTTATTTGATTAGTTTTATTATTAATTTTTTTAACAAATATTTTTCTTGAAAATAAGTATTTTTTTAAATTAAAGGGTATTTTTGAAAAGGAAAATTCCCAACAAAAAAAGAGGGAGTTCCCCAATTAGTATTATATACTCCTGGAGTACCATCTTCATGGTAATCCACCTATTATAACATATTAAAGCGAAATAACATATGTTTAAAATAAAATAACATGTAATGAAATTGACCCTCCTCCACTTTCTATCTCTCTAAATTCTCCAACTCCATTTTTTCCTTACCGAAACCTTCTTTCATTCAACAAAAACTACTAAATTTCATCCAAAATAATTTGCATTAACTACAACAAACAAATACAAAATTGTTCAATTGAATTTGAATTTTCAATTTCACATCATCGTGCAAAATGGGTTGATATTCATGAATTTATAGAAAAAAGAACAAATCAGGCACAACAAGAAAGGTTGATACAAAATAAGTAAGTATATTTGAATTTGAATTCAGTTATTTATACTTTTTTTTTTTACAAATATATTCAATTACTACTTTGATATTTTTGTTTTGTTTTTTTGGTGTTCTACCCGGTTCACCCTTTAGGCTAATACTATTAAGGGATTAGTTCTAGACAATTAGGTTTCAACCCTCCTAATTATTGTTGCGGGATCGAACACTACAATCCTCTCTACCAAGTGCAGTCTCAATCACCATTATTGCACCAACAACCAATTGGTGTTTATATATAACAGTTATTGAAAATTACCGTGCATGGCATAGTACCTAACCTAGTTATTTTTTTATAAGTTTCTCTAATATGACAATATTTTTACAATTAGTAACTAATTAGCTTAATTAATTATGGAGTAATAATTTTCTATTAATTAGCATTCTTGTAAAAAAAATAATTAACAAAAAAAAGATATAGAAATAGAAAGTACAAAGCCTTCTTTCATAGCCACCCCACGCCGTTGGTTAGCCACCGGAACCCACCACCACCCTCGATAATCATACCAACCTACTCGCCTGAACCTGACGGAACCACCCCACCCTCAGCTCACTAGAACCCTAAAACCCCCTTTAATTATGGCAACAAATTGTCATTGACAATTTTTGGTATCCATCAAATATCTTGTTGTTTTTTCAAATTCCCCCAAATTGATTTCTCAATTAGAGTTCCTTCATTTTTTGTTC